ATTTTTTCATTTAAATGTTTGCGATAGTAACGCATGTCGTACCGGTACATATCAGGTCACATTATAGGAGAGAGGAAATCCCAAAATGACGGAAACTATGCGCTAAAAAACCAGGACTAAGGACGTTGAAATAAAGAGGGGCTCTTACCTTTTAAACCATTGAACCTATTTGGTGAAATTCGGTACAGCGATAGTTTGAGACCCGGGAAAGGACATCTAAAAGTTTTTAACCCGAAAAACCCACGAAACCGGGAACTGTGCTGTTAAAATCACTATATCTATTTGATTGAAATGCGATACAACATTGATTTGCAAACATAGAATAGTGAAACCTCACGAGACGGGCACTGTACGGGTAAAACCTCTTATGGGATTGTTTATTTTAGAAACCACGAAAATAAATTCATTTCTCAATAAATATAACCTAGGTACTGAATCGATTGTGTTGATATTTTGTTCCAGTTGTACAGCCGTAGAATATACCTTGACAAAGACTAATTTAAAAACCCAATTTATACAGAAGTCGCTATTTCACGCGGACGAAGTCGCGGGTAACAGCTAGTTAATACAATATAATTACAGAAATTAGTATAGTTACAATTATCACGCATTGTTTTTATGATGTTCCCAAGCTCAACAATCTTGGTAGAGTGCGAGGTCTCGGCCTCCGAGTCAACCAAAGTACCTACATGTTATTGTTTTTTTTTATTGTTTACGTTTTTTTCTTATACCACCAACTTACATTGAGCGAGTTACGTCTTCAACGGTGACTGAGTCAATCAAGAATTGGGATTCTATTCCCATGTCGAGTTAAATATTCTAACCGATTCGATATAATATGGAAAACAATTATACATACTCGTTACTCAGAACGAATCTTTTAATTATTTTGTTAAAAACTTCATACCTATATGAAACAATGGAATCACTGTGGGAATTGTAATAATGCATTTAAATATTGTCTGGGCTGAGGAAAAATTTAGTCTTTCAAAGATTATCGACCTTTGTGCACGTCCTATCTCAAAATCTTCAGTCTCCTACCAAGTGGCCAGTTGCTCCAAACTTAATGGTAAAATCAATACCTATATTTTTTTAAATCTCAATTATGTAATTAATAGGCGCATAAATAGATGTAAACTGAATTTATTAGTTCATCGTATAAATCAATTAATGTAATTGGTTTCAGTAGTGGCTGGAGTATTGGTTACCGCGCGGATCCGATATCCGGACTCTTTTTATGGTTCACAAATTGTTGTTTGGAGTCTGGGTGTGATCTCATTGCCATGTAATAGGGACAATGTTAAACGCCAGTTGCCAAGTAGTCGATATGGAGTCTCTTCCTCGTCATTTGGCTCTTTCGCAACGTGACCACGATCGCAGAGGGACCGCAGAGCGGTCGTGGTCACGTTGAGGCGGCCGTATTTGTTTTGGAGGCCGATACTGCTATCCTCACGATCTCCTGCCATCTCTCCCTGATGTGGATTGTCTGGCGCAGTCTGACACTAGGTTTTCTGTTGCCGATTTAACTTGATCAGTACAGCGCATAGGTGATCTGCCTCGTGATCTGGTTCCCTCTACTATCCCCTGAACGACCAGCCGCTCTATGGAGTTGTTATCACGCCGAGAGACATGGCCAAAGTACTGCAGCATGCGCGGCTGTACTATGGTTGATAGACGCTTTGTGATGCCGAGTTCCCGGTGTATGGATATGTTGGATGGTAGGGAAATTCTGGCCTTCCGCGTCGTACTGGTGCAATTGAAACTCTAATGGCATGTTTGTCTCGTATATAACTGTGCGGTAACCATTAGATAGTGACTTAACCTATGGTTAATAAAAATTCCGGGTTACTAACTTGAAAATACCGAGCAAAGCTCTACTAGTTGTTCTATAATTGTGTCTACAAAACCGGTACTCGACGAGTTAAGGAAATATCTGACAGTCAATCATAATGTAGTGAAGATAAATAAAGCGGTTGGTGCGAAGCAAAAAGACAAAATCACGAAAAACCACCTAAGACTCTACCTTATCATCCAATTTTATTTTATGGGATAATCTGGTAAACGAACAGACGTACCACCTGATGGTAAGCAAACGGCATCGCCTATGGACACTCGAAACACCAGAGGCAACATTTACGATGATGGCCTTTTAGGGGTTACGAATTTGTGAATTGTTGGAGATTCGGATATTGGGGAGGGGAGTAATCACACGACAAAATGCAACACAATTGCTACATAATATACATGTACACATAAATATGTACAGGTTAAGAATATAATATTTAGTACAGTTATCTATACCCGGTAGCTCGGTGGCTGCGTGTGACAATTATCTTCACAGATATTTTTTTTTCCAGAGCACTAGACCACCATGTATGCTGCCACGGTGGTGAACGTTATTAAGTTGGTTCAAATTGGCCTAAGTTACCTGGCCATGGTGCAGTTTTCCGCGTATTTGTGGCCACCAGGTGCCGTCGTTCAAGGTATTTTGTTGTGTCAAATTACACGTTATTGCCTACTTTCTTAATTAATTGGCTGTAAATCTTGGATTTAACATCTAAAATGGGTAAAGTTTTGTGAAATTGTAATAGCATCGAGTGTAAAACTGCTCTCGATAATTTATTATTTAGGTTAAGCTTAGGTTAGGCTTACTCATGTAACTATTTGAAGAGGAACTCGTCTAGATACAAGCCATACTTGAGGCGCATATTCACGAGCAGCATTTCGCGACGTCCTATGTTGTGTGCCTCTTCTCGGAAAAGTTATAATAATTATGGTGTCAATAATTTTAATATCGACATAATAATTTGTCCATCTTATTAAAATATGTTATTTGTCTATTTATGTAATCCAATTATTTTTATAGGTTTTGTCGAAAATCCTACGGGAATGGGAAAAAACAGAACTGCGCGCATGAATTTTATTTTGACGTTCAAAAGTGCCATTCTGGCCTAATTGAAATAAATGATTTTGACTTTGACTTTGACTTTGAAGTCGAGGACAGAAGCAAATTTTCGGTTAATAACAATTATTTATTTTATATTGCAGATGGAGCAATCTTTGACTACATTATAGTGGGCGCCGGAACTGCTGGTAACGTCTTAGCCAACAGATTAACTGAAGATAAACATGTGAACGTTCTTCTGATAGAAGCAGGTGGTGACGCCCCAGTAGATGTTGTTGTAAGTATAATAACAATTTTTATATATAGAAAGATTGAAAAACAGGAAATAGAAGTAATTTCTATTGATCTTTTTGTTTTGGTGCTATTATACTAGAGTCAAATTATAGGGGATGAACCTATGACAGCAGGTCACTCACAGACTCTGTGGTGTACCACAGAGTCTGTGATTTGTGTGAGTGTGAGAGAGTTACAACTCAGAGCTGCAAAATCGTCAAATAAAAATTCTAATGTAACTAAGTTACATAAAATGGACACCAATTTTAAAATGATTAAGCCCATTAATTACACCATGTACACCAATTTTTCTAACACAGCTATATTAGCCTACGTCAAATAGTATATCTTAAATTTTCGCAATTCCCCCATTTCAGGTACCTGGCTGTACAATCTTCCTAAAGCAATCAAATTACGACTGGAATTATACGACGGAACCCTATAGGGTTACCAATCAGTGTCATCAGAAACCTTACCATGAACCCAGTTCTGGCAAAATGTTGGGAGGCACCAGCTCTCTGAACTACATGCTGTACTCCCGAGGACATCCTACAGACTACGACAACTGGGCGAGTATAACTGACGATGATACCTGGAAATGGGAGAACGTACTCCCATATTTCAAGAAGAGTGAAAGAATTGAAGACCCTCACTTCCTTTCATCAGACGATATGGCTAATCACGGTTCAGAAGGTTTCGTAGGATTAACAAAAGAACCCAGCACACGGACAAATAATGTTTTGGAAAGCTTTAGGGAACTTGGTTATAATGTGACTAATGATTCCACAGCAGGTTTTGGCTATTCTAATTCCTGGATTTATATTGGGAAGGGCGGTCGACAAACTACTGCTTTAACGTATTTAAGTCCAATTAAAGATCGTGAAAATTTACACCTGTTGAAAAAGGCTCACGTCACTAAAATAAATTTCGATAAAAATAAGAATGCTGAAGGCGTAGAAGTTATATTAGAAGATGGTAAATCTATCCACGTTAAAGCATCAAAAGAAGTTATTATATCTGCTGGTACATTTGGTTCAGCGAAAATACTTCTACTGTCAGGAATTGGCCCTAAGAAAGACCTCGAAAGTAAAAACATCGATTGCGTATCAGATCTACCAGTTGGAAAAAATTTACAAGACCACATTGGTGTAATTATTATGCATTCCATGGAAAACACTGGACGGTTGCTACCAAATCCTAATAAACATCCAGCACCTCCTGTGGTGGGATATGTAGCTTTGGACAAAAGCCATAAGCATCCAGACTATCAAACAATGTCGTTTTACGCGCACTCGAGACTCGTATTGTACTTTTGTTCCTTCGCCTACAGATTAAGTTACGATATCTGCGATAAAATATTCACATCCAGTATGGGAAAATATAACTTATTTACCGAAATTGTTAATTTACATCCAAAATTTAGAGGCGAAGTGTCTTTGAGAAGCTCAAATCCGATGGATCCTCCTTTCATTAAGACTGGTTATCTGACAGAAGAAGATGATATTGATCAGTTGGTGAAATATATCAAACGAGTGATACCTATTGTAGATACCGCACACTTCAAAAACATTGGTGCAGAAGCGATTGATCCTACAATGGATAATTGTTCTGATTTTAAGAAAGGTACTGATGAATATTGGAAGTGCTACGTATATTGTATGTTCTCTGGTACCAGTAATTACGTTGGAACTTGTGCAATGGGCAGTGTTCTTGATAGTAAGTTAAAAGTCCTTGGTGTCCAAAAATTAAGGGTTGTCGATGCAAGTGTCATGCCAGTTATAACTAGAGGTAATACCGAAGGCCCAGTCACTATGATTGCTGAAAAAGCGGCAGACTTCATCAAAAAAGATAATTTTGATAAATGTTAATGTGATTTTTTGTTGCCCTTTCTGATTTGTTTTCACTTGTTTGATATTAAAGTTATATTTGAAGTACTTGAAGTTTTTGTTGATATAGTTTTCGTGATTTTTCTTGTCATTTTTTAACAAGAACGTATGTAGAATATTTGGATTTTTTGGATGCTTAAGTTAAAGAAACAGAATTATTCACACGTCTGACTCTGACTTCAAAGCATGAGCTGAAATCTACAGCGTGTTATTTTTCTTTCCCTTTATTTTTTCTTTAGTATAAATAGTTAATCTCCGACTACACACGCAACGTTGGCAGTTACGCAGAAAATAAACCTTGCAAAAAACACCCACATACATAAACTGGGTAAAACACCGTATTCGTATTTACTATTCAACAAAGGGTTAACGTTTATTGCCCCTCGACCGTTGAATATACCGCAGAACCGGATTTATCCAGATATCCACGCCGTCGCTAAACAGTTCAAACCGCTTCATACCGGATAGGACCGGTAAACAGCTAGAAAATAGCGGAAATTATCGGGAATATAAGGCAGTGTTTTGTATTTATTTACTTTGAACATTTTGTGGTTTACTTTTCCAAACGTTTCTTTTTAAGATTCAATTTAACTTGTAAATAACCTCTAAGTTAACTGTTTCTGTTGAAAAAAAAGCTATTAACTGTTATAGGAAAATCGACCTAATAACATAGTATCAAACTATTCTAACCTACTCCAATCTCCCAAAGCGAAGCTCTGCTAACAAGACAATCGACAAATCCTTAGGGAGGTCGTCACGATGTCGTGACGTAATACGCAATGAATAAAAGATCGTGCTGTGTAAAGTGACCCTCGGCCTAAGCTCATCAGGAATTACGTGTCGTATTGACGAACTCAGTTTATGGAACGAAAGTTACTCTAGCTTGTTCGACATTGCATAATTGATATCCGAACATGACATTACGCTCGTTTCTGGGATTAAATAGACAGGTAGACATGCGTCAGTATTCATTTGCAATTGACAGCTCTTTTCCAAGGCGATTAAGGACTGTTTTGGCGTGTGTTTTGTGGCTAGTAATTTTGGTGTATTTGTTTTTATTTTTTTACGTAGAGGAGTAGTTTTGACGTATGTTTGCTAGTAAGGGTTGATGAATATGAGGCGTTAAACTAAATAATAAGAGTAGGCAATATTTAAATTACGCGTCCGATTTGGAAATTCTTATTTGTTCGAGTAAAATCCAGATTCCTTTTTTTATTATTGCTTGCAGTCTAAAGTACCTTTTCAAGCAAAACAAATTTGTTTTTCTCGTAATAAAATATAATGTTGAAGTCCACGAATCGTGAAATATTTTAGGCGCCTGTATTATTACTTCCATCTATGTAAGTAACCGAAAAAGTTATGTGACAGATAAATTAATATAAAATTACATTTCTTATTTTTTTTATTTATTTATTACTAGCGACCCGCCCCGGCTTCGCACGGGTACAATATGCATGTATTATACATATAAACCTTCCTTAAGAATCACTCTATCTATTAAAAAAAACCGCATCAAAATCCGTTGCGTAGTTTTAAAGATCTAAGCATACATACGGACATACAGCGAAAGCGACTTTGTTTTATACTATGTATTGATTACTTCTTGACCAAAGATAACAGTGAATAGCGGAATTAATGCCTTAAGGCATTCTCTTACAGTCAACCATAGGGAAGTGCAGAGCAAGGAGGTGGTTGATGCGAAGCCAGAACACAATAAACAAAAAGAAATTATCGTTATTAAATAATATGCATACGACACACATAAAAACCTATACATAGGCTCTAAACCTATTAAAATACGATGAAACTTATGAATTTTTATTATAAATTTCCAACAAATCATCTAACAAGCTAGCCATCGTATCTCTCCATCTGTTGTTACAACAAAAATGTCGAAAGGCATCATCTAAAACGTCTGTCATTTCTGGATGTCTTCTCATTTCGCGGCTCAACGACTCTATTCGCTTTGATTCCCTTCATTATCTTGAAGTATGCTTTGTAGAAATGGAAACCATTTTGGATATACATTTGGAGCCTGCTTAAAAATGTTTGTTTAGTTACTTAGGGCGCGACGCCCCTGTATAAGGATATGACATTGAGATTTTGTCGTATAATGCGAGTATTTCTTTTTGTTCCTTTTATAACTCCTATTAAAGTAAAATGTAAAACACTACTAAAATTGACTGCAACGTTGGCTGGACAACTCAGATTGTTGTTCCGGGTCTGGGTTTCATGTGTATACGCACCCACGATGCAGGAGAAAATCCTAGTGCAGGGCAACGTTTTATTTAGAAAAGGAAACGAATCTACGTGTTGGAACGAGTTCTTAGCTTCACTGGTGGACAGACTGACAGACTAGATTTGACATAACAAACGTGCATATGTGGATTAATGGAGCTACCGTTTACAGCTCACCAAAAAGCGCCAAATGAAGTAGTTTTTTGACCAATCACTGAATCTGCCAAATATTCAATGTCCGATTAGATAGTGGACAGTAACTAATTCCCTATTGGATGAAGAGTTAAATGACATTAGCGCCATCTAGCGAGGAAAAATACAGTAGGTCCCATTGAAATAAATGTTTTTACTTTGAAATTGAATCACATACTACATACTAAATTAACTAAAAATCGCGCGCATGTGCGGTCGCGGCGATGTCGCGCAGCCTACTGACCGCACACGCTGCTCTAGAGGAAGAACCCCTCTGTGATTGGAAACCAGTAGAGATTTTCTCAGTACTTCCACGTGAGTAACTAGCGATTTTTAGTTAATCTAATCCTAATCCTTGCTCGGCAATTTAACATTATAAACATCTTCATAGCCAAAGAAGAATTGTATTCACTAGTTTTATTATTAATGAACTTATGAAATTTTTACAATTTCAAGGATTTTCAACAATGGCCGTCTGTCATCTGTCAAAAACTAACTTGACAGCTAGTTAGAGAGTAACTTAAATAAACTTTAACGTAAGTTAGAATTCTAAGTTAAATTAAACCGATGATCAATTACAGTCAAAAAGATTTTATCAAGAGTTTGCGGTTGATAGAAGAAAATTTTATCAAAGTAAACTAATTAGTATTATTAATGTTTAAGCAAAAACTCATCTTAGACTTAATTTTTATAACAGCTTGCGTTTTGTAACTTATATATTTTAAATATTATGTGGGTCCATTCTAAGTCTTTCACATACCACTTACTTATATTCAAGTTAATATCAGTGTAAAATTAAAATTTAATAACAATATGTTCTAATGTTTATTAAGGCGGTACAGCCTGTGTAACGAAATAAATTATGGTAAGTCTACAAATAGAATAAGATCGTTTGTAAACAGTGATTGTAATCATATTTAATATTAATAAAGAACTTGAAAAATAAAAAAAAAATTATATCATCTTAGACTTAGGTTTTATGACTTCATATATTATTTTAAAACTTTTTCATTTCAGGAGTGGTTGGAGTGTGACTGTCAAACGAAGGGTCTCAGTTTAAATTCTCAAATCGGGAATAGCAATTTGTGACTTTTCTGTTTTTTGAAATTTCCTCAGTAGACCTGCTGCCTCATTTGCCAAGTGGTCGCGAGTGCGACTGCTGGGCGAGGAGTCTCGAGTTCGATACCCGGGTTCGGCAAAGAATTACATTTTTTTAATGTCAGTAGTAGGGCACGAAGTTTGCAATTGTGCCCAGTATATAGCAATAGGCTCACCCACTTATTACACGGGAATCATAACATAAATAGTGAAATGTGGGTGTTGCATTGTACAGTGGCATAAACTGCCGTAATGTGCACCTCTGCCTACTCCTTCGGGGATAAAAAGGCGTGATGTTATTATACTCAGTACATACGTGTGTATTTTGTATATTCGTGTTTTCTAGTGTGATGTTTGTGGCACCCAATGAGACCCCCGAGTGAGCATGACAACTCCAAGCCAACACAAAATAGTGACCCTGATAACTTACGTGACTGTACTCTACATTTTTATGTTTCTGAAACTTTAAAACAACTGAGTTGAGTTTCATATTATTAAACAGATAGATGGGGCCCTGAAGACTAATGTACTATATTTTCTTTTTTTAAAAGTAGTAGTTTTGTTATCTAAATACACAATTTTTTTTTACAAAGAACTTTTGCTGACATAACGTAACATTACGTCACGCCTTTTCTTCTTGAAGGAGTTGGCAGAGGTCATGGCGGAATGGCAGCAAAAGTTCTTCGTCTCGTTCCGCGTGCGCCTCAAGGAGTCATCAGACCACCACAGACGGGGCCCAACAGGGGTGATGCTGATGCCGATACGGAGCCGCGGAAGACTTAACGGGTTGCCGGGGCTCCAGCTCGAAGTGCAGGAGTAGGAACGGGGTGGTTTTTAGTCAGTAAGAGTCTGATACTCCCTCTCCCCTCACCCGGGCGGGAGAAGTCGATCAATGATTTTTCCCCCTCAAAAAAAGGGGGTTGGCAGAAGTGCACATTACGAAATCATCAGAAAAGTGTTTTGACACATATGATAAAATTTTCGTATTATTAACCAACTTCATAAAGAGGATTAAGTATTTTTATGGAAACGAGCAGACGGATCACCTGATGATAAGCGATCAGCACCCTCCATGGACACCAGCAATACCAGAGGAGTCACAGGTGCGTTACCGGCCATTTAAAAAGGAATACGCTCTTTTCTTGAAGGTTTGAAGGTCGTATGGGTTTGGAAATACCGCCGACAACAGATCGTTCCATAGTTTTGCTGTGCCAGGTAGAAAGCTACGTGAGAAGCGCACAGTTGTGGTCTACCAACCATCAATATGATGGTAAGTATGTTATTTTTAAACGTAGTTTATATAAGAATTATTTTTATTTAATGGACCTGTCATCGTGAGACCATGAGATTGAAGTGGAGTTTTTAAGGGTGGAAAATCATCGAATGACTTCTCCCGCCTGGGTGAAGCGGAAGGGAGTGTCAGACTCTTACTGACTAAAAACCAGCCCGTTCCTTCTCTTGCACTTCGAGCCGGAGCCCCAGTAACCCATAAGGTTCTCCGCGACTCGTAA